ACAGTGCTGGGCACGGCTTTGAGTAAAGTAACCGCCATCAGTGGCCCCGGTAACTCTTGTCTTCCTGGCGTATTAAATAAACCTCTGCTGTCCCGTGCCCGAGTGGTCTTGCCTCTGTGCGCGGGTGAAGAAGCCAGTGGCCGGGGACCGTGGGGCACGTCCAGGCCAATGTGCCCCTGCTGCCCTGGGCCCCTCGGGTCAGCGTCCGCCCCTGCAGGGCTGCGACTGGCTCATGGGCGGAACCCCAGAGAGGAGCAGGGGGTGGCCGCGTGGGAGGGACACGAGCCCCGGAGCCGAGGACAGTTCCTGGCCCGGCCTCTGCGCTGCCCGCTCCCCGGGCTGGTGACCGCACTGGCGAGCCCGGAGCTGCCCGCGAGGCGGAGCCGGCCACAGCGAGGCCTGAGCTGGAAGCCGACGGGGCTGGGCGTGGGGTGGCCCCTGCTCCCGAGTGACGCAGCTTCGCAAACCAAGTCACCTTGATGGTAAAAGGTTCACACCGGAGAAGTGAACGCCGGGGACCCTGGGGCGCAGGGGTACAGCGCAGCTGCTGTGGCGCGAGTCCTGCGGCCAGGGGGTGACTCCCGGGCGGCAGACCCCGCCGGTCTCCCCGCTGCTCGCTCAGCAGGGCGTTTTGGTCCATCTCCCTGTCCTGCTCCCCACTCTGTCCCTGGTGAAGCCTCTCAGCCCTGCACCTCTGGCCTGCACCCCAGTTCTGTGTGCACAAATAAAGAAATCTTTAAAATTAAAAAAGAAAACCCGAGAGCCAGCACAGCAAGGCCGGGGCGAAGCGCCCGGGGCCACCCGGCTCTGGCCGGGGCCGCTCTGCCGGGAGCCCGGCCTGCTGGTGGCCTCTCCGAGCTCGCGGTCAGGGCCCCGGGCCCAGCTGGGTGCGAAGCAGCAGCGGCCAGGCTGCAGGACAGACACGGCCCTTAGGGACGAGGTTCTCAGGGACAGCCGCAGGCATGGCGTTTGGGACGTGGGGTTCGGTGGGGAGTCCTTGGTGCCGCGCCCATGGCGGGACACAGGGGAGCCGCAGTGACCTGCAGCGCGGCCGCCGGCCTCGGGGACTGTCACTGGCACTGGCCAGGGAACGGTGCAGCCTGGGAAGCCGCGCCACAGCTCCCGGCCACCCCAGCTCTGGGGCACCACACCCACCCCTCAACTGCCACATCGTGGGGTGCTGGGCTGGCTGCATGGTGAGCAGGAGTCCCCGGCCCGCCCCGCCTGTCCTGTGCACACCCGGTCATGTCCCGGCCACGGTGGGTGAGCAGGTCCAGGCGGAACACGGGGCCTCCGGCTGCCCAGGGCTCCCCGCGGGCTGGGGAGCCTCGTGCTGACCGCGAGGCGTCGGCCCTACCGCCCACAGCTGCCCTGAGCACACGCTGCAGGGTGAACTGGGGGGCTGGTGGGGAGTGCCTGCTGCGGGCTCACCGGGGCCAGGCTCTGGGGACACCGCGCACGGGAGGAATCGGGCGGGGCTCCCCGCCTCGGCCCTGAAATGCAGCCTGCACAGCTCGGTCTGGTTTGGGAACGCTCTACCCACAGGTCCACGGGCAGACCCCTGAGGGGAGGAATGAGAAACGTGGCTCGAAACGGCCAAAGTCGGAGGCCTCCGCAGCGCACCCGGAGTGGACCTGGCCGGTCCGGGCCCGGAGCGGGCCGCGGGG